TAATTCGTTAAACATAGTACGAATTTTTAATTACTAAATTCGGTATAGTAAGGGTTTTTTTATATTTAAAAATCTGTTTGACACTGAAAATCCGTTGTATTGTAAAATTCGTTATATCAAAATTCGTTGTAGAAAGAGTTGACTGTAGTAAGATTTAATCATTTATATTAAAATGATCAAAAATAATATATATAAAAAAGGATTTATTAGAATAAAGTGTGAGCTTACTGAATATTAAATATTAGAATAATCAATCTATATTAATTTATTCTATTTTATAATCAATGAATTTTTTAAATTACTTTTTGTTAAATCTAAATCAATATTTTTATTAATTTGTTTTATATTTTTAGTTATACTTTATATTTAAATAATTTTATTTTTGTTAAATTCTTTTATACTAAAGAAATATTCTACTCTAATTTTTTTAATCTTGATTAAAGAATCTATATCTCTTTTTTTTATCTTTGAGTATAAACTTATTTTTTTTTGATTTTATAGGAAATTTATTTTTAATACTTGCAAGAGAAATATTTTTATAAATAATTAAAAGTTTAAGATTATTTATCTTTAATATAAATATCTTATTTCATTTTTAAACTTAAAATCATTTTTTTGATTATAACTGCAGTATCTATTTTTTAGCTAGTATATATAATTGAAATTTTCTTATTTTTTTTTTAAATTTTTTAAGATTATCTTTTATATGCTTATTTTTTTTGATTGATTTAGAAAATCTAGCATATATTTATAAAATATTGTAATTATTTGCAAACTGATTTTTCTCATATATAGTAATTTTATATCTTTTTTTATGCAAAAAAAATATTTTTTAAGTTTTATTCAACTAGAAGAATATTGATTAGCTAAAGAATTTTCAAGGTTATTATTATTATCTAGATTTTTTAAAACATAAATCTAAGATAATTTTTTTATTTTAAATAGAAAAATTCTAGTTAAAATAATAAAAAGCAAATTATTTTGACAAATATAATACAAGACTTTAAATATTTTTAATATAACTCATATTAGAATTTACATAGAATTTATATATTATTTCTGATCAGAATATATATTACAGAATATTTTTAAATTCTTTATTTTATTTTTAATTTAATTAGTAATCAGATTTTAATGTTTTTGAATTTATTAAAATTAACTTAATAAAAAAAATTTAAAAATAGTAAAATTATATTTTAGCATTAATATTAATTAAATTATTATAAAAAATACATTTTATTAATATTATTTATATTATTTGTGAATTAAATGAGAGATATTTAGATTCTTTTAATACTTATTAATACTTATTGAAAAAATGTCAATATACACTGAAAAATACTAATATGTATTTATACTTATTAATATATACTGAAATAAATATTAATATACATTAAAGAATACTGATATATATTAAATATTATTAATTTATATTAAAAATACTGATATATATAAATAGTACTAATTTATTATAAATATTGATATATGGGGGCTAAGCTATTAAAATCACCTTACGGGACTCCACTAACTAAAGTTGAGATTTTTGATTCATATTAGTATATGATATATGAACTTTATTTAGTTAAATTTTTATAGTCGATTATTTTATTAACAAAGCAAGCAATTAGGTCTGTCAAAATTTCTCATTTTTTTGTGTAACATCAGTCAAAAATCTAAAATAAGATTTTAGAAATAATTGACATTAAATTTGGAAATGATTGACATTATTTATTATTTAAAAAGTTAAAAAAGTTTCAGATCCTTATAAAATTCAAAATTTTTTAATTTTAATTAAAACCATTATTAATAGTTAGAATGTGTATTTGAATGTGGGTCTTAAGAGGGTATTCATACCCCCTCAAAAAAAATTTTTTTATTGAAAAATTTTTTTTTTTTTTTGATTTTCAATAAAATTAGTGTAATAATGTCCTGTAGGGTGATTTTAATAGCAAAATCTCGTTACGAAATTGATTTCAAGTTTTATAAAAATTAGTCCTGTAAAATAATTTTAAATAATAAAATTTATATATTTTATAATAAGCAAAATTTTAAATATTATAAAATAATAATTTAATAGTAAAAATAATAAATTTTAGTATCGTCTTAATAATTAATTCGACTTAATATTTAAAAATAGAACAATTTATTATTGGTTGAAAATGCTTATTGTGGTGTAACATTTTTTTAATCATTATTTACTCAAAATCAATTTCTTATCCCGTAAGGTGATTTTAATAGCTTAGCCCTCATATTATAATTTATAAAATAATTAAAGATATTTATTATTATTAATTTTGATAATTGAATTTTAATATTTAAATAAATTTTATGTTAAATATATGAATTTTATAAAAACTTAATATATTTATTAATAAATAAAATTAATATTATTATTAAAAATCTTATAAATCTTAAATATTTATATAAATATTAAAATTATTTAAACTAAAATGTAAATTTAACTAATAAAACTTTTGATATTTTATATAATTTATATAAGTAGATTTATATAAAGGTAAAGTATATTAAATTATATTTAGAATAATTTATATTGCTATTTTCTTTTATTAGTTATTTTTATAAAATTATTGATTTTAAAATAAATTTTAACTCATTTTTAAAATATGATTTATCGCATTTTATTTAGATAAAACTAAGAAAAACATTTAAAAAATTGTATTTTAAAAATATTAAAGATTTTATATTAAAGATTTTGATTATTAAAAAATTTTATTGTAATTTTATAATAAAATTTTTTTAATAGAAAAATATTTAATTTTATTAAATATAATAAAAAAAAATTTTATGTTTTTTGACAATTTTAATAAAATTTTTTTTTATAATAGATTTTTTGATGATATTGAATTACATTTGTGGTTATGGTTCTATGAGTTCAATATATTTGGTAAGATAAAAGTTGCTTGCCTATAGATAATTTGATTTCAATAACAATGTAAACAATTTACAATCTTTATTAGTTAATTAGTTTCAGTTTTCCAACAGATATAAACATGATGACAAACAGATTTATCAATTCCATATGACACAAAATCATTCTAATTAGCAAATGAATCAATATTCGTCTGAACTGATTCACAATCATAAAGAGCAATGTAACATTTGCGTTACCTACATCGGAATCATCATCATCTGAATAAGTTAGTATTGATTTTCTATGCCTATATTGATTTTTCAAATTTGCTGATCTTTCATCCACTAAAGTGATTTTTGAAGAATAACAATCGAGGTGACTTTAATAATACATTGAGAGAATATAATCATTGTGTTCCTAGGAAAATTTATAAGAGCGTGAATAAATATTTTAAATATATGGAACCTTTGCAATAAAAAGGGGGAAAACAGCCGGAAAAAATCAATTTTACTTTTATATGCCAAATATGATTTTTAGGTCAAAATATGTTCAGATTTAGCATTAACTCAATTTTTATTTTTTCCAGCCGTTTCCTTTTTCTATTGCATTGGTCCTATATGATGACTTTGATTTTTATTAATTTGTTAATGTAGTATAATGATTTTATGACATCATATGATGGGCTTGGGTAAGGACAATCACAATCAATAATCATCATCTACTGTATATCTCAATGAGATGATCTAATCGTTTCTCGCATCAATAGGATGAGATCGAATATATAATAAAATCATCATATAGCTGATTCCTTCTATACGAATCTATAAAATTGTTCGTTGAAATATCACATTTAATTTTAGGTCAAACCTATGAATTTACATTTCGGGTCGCTATCTCGCGATCAAAAAAAAAATTTGAATTGTTACAAGACGTGCTCATCATAAAACCAACCATTACTTCTTTAATTTGTGATGATAAAAATAAGTTACCTTTCCACCACCATAAGAAGTTTAGCTATTTTATTTTTCAATATAGTAAATAATTTTATGATAATATAAGTTATTAAAAAATGGATCACGATTTAAACAATTTTCATAAACGATATTATAATGGTTTGTTGAACAACAAAATGATCAATACCATTATGAAAATTTAGCCATTTTTACAGTTACCAATCGAGGAATCGTATTACTAGGGCCATATTATAATTGCTTTATTCAAACACAATCGCTTGCTCATAAATAAAAATCAACCCAAAGGTGCTGACATTTGTCACGTTTCTATTTATTATTCCGATTCAACACATAAATAACCTCTATTTGTGTACCCAAAACGCGAAATTATCTTCACAAAAATAAAATAAAAATAAAATAAAAATTACGCCATATCCTATTAATTGATATTAATTGTCTAAAAAAGTAGTTTTATCTTCACAATCACATATAAATAAAAAAAATTTTTTTTCATGGTCGACACCTTTATTAATTATATTGAGAAAAAATCAAATGATTACAATATATTCTGTCTAGAATGGTTGCTTTCAAAATAAAGTGGTGAGAAAAACAAATGTATCAGAGTAAACTGGTTTTCCTATTTTTCATCATTTGAACCGCTAAATACTAGGATTGGTATTATATCATTTTGATGACAGTTATCCTTATGATCCTCATGATCATTTTTATCATTTTCGTTATGATCATTATGATCATTATAGCCATTATTATGATCATTATTATAATCATTACGTTTTGTCACAAATACAATAATATTAATGATTAGGTTTAAAGATGATGAAATGAGGGTAAATAAAGGCACGAAGTCATAAAATACACTTTTTGAAGCATAATAAATCTACACAAATTTTATCAAAAATTAATGATTGATTTAAATAATTTATACATACAGTATATATAATTACGTACCTGAATGATTACTTGAGGAATGTCTTCAGTGAAGATATGTACCCAAGCTCCGAGTTGTATCGATTTTAATGCATCATTAGAAAATTGAGCTTTAAAAAAATCTAATTCACGAATTTTTACTTTTGATTCGAGTAAATATAAAGCTTCAATATCAGCTCCCGCTAATAAGGTGTAAAGTATCAAAAATTTAGGTTTGCCTTTTGACCATTCCGAGAATTCTTTATTTCGACCATTATTTTTTTCTCTGTTTATAATCGTTTGTGCATATACGGCACAAAAAATAAATGGACCCGCCAAAAATATAATACTTAAAGGAAAGAATTATATTATAAATATATATTATATATATTTTTGAAATATTAATAATTCAATTCAGAAATGTGATTACCTTGGAACAAATATTCCTTGAACATTTCTTGCTTTTGTAATAACAAATAAAATATCAAAAATCAGATCAAATATGATTGATAAAAATTTAAAAATTGCTAAATTATTCGCCTATTAACGTATATAAATTCTGTTAGATACTCGTTTTCGATTGTAATTGCAATTCGTGTTACATACCTCACTATTGCACTTTCTGGCATAAAAGAACAATCCAACTGATACGATTAAGATCACAAAAACTGCAATTATCTCAAATGTATAAACTTCCAATAAATTGGCTATTTTACAAGTTCAAATAAGATATATTTAGTTTCAAATATCTGATAATTTTACGTCAATTGTGATAACCAATGTTTGAAATTCTTACGAGAACGTTGGTATCCATAACCGGAATCCAAATATTTTGAAATTTCGCCAGAAGCGATAAAAGTGATAGGTTTATGATTAATCAAAGTATTTAAATCTTTAGCGGCTAAATCAACTGTTCTTTCTTGCCCGTATTTATCTTTCTCGATAATAATAGACAAAATAATTTGATTTGGAGAAACCGAATGATCAGTTTCCACACGTCCATTAGTCGTTATACGGTCCTGGCTTATAGGGATCGCATAAGCTAATTCATGCCTCAATTTGGTGTAAAAATCATTACGGCCAACTTTATCAAGGCTCTCAAAAAGAGCAGTTCCATTTACAGTCAAACGAACTCTTCCTGCAATTTTATCTGAATTTTTTTCATCCTCTATATCTGATTGGAAATGATTATTTATACAGTAAATCTATCAGATTTTAATTCAAATGGGAGGAATTTATTATAAAGCACTCACTTGTTGTAAAAAACCAATCTTTGTTTTGTAAGCCAAGGAGAGGTTCTTGGTATTCCTGACTCATTACAAAATCATTTTCAATTAAAACGTAATATCTTTCGCCAGGACGATTGAATGTACTATTGATTATCTTAACGTTAACGGTAGTTCCATTTTCATCAAGTGTTACATACTCATTGTTGCTTCCAGAAATGTTTTGACGTACAATATTTCGATCATATTGAAATATTATAATGTTACTCTTTGATAATTCGATAGGACTGTGATAATGAATTATAAGGGAATCTATGTCATATGGAATTATCTCGTTAATTAATGGAGTTGTGGTGTTAATATGCAAATTCCCATATCCATGATCTATAATATATTAAATTCACATAAGTTTTAAATTTTTTTTTTTTTTAAAAAAAATATCTTTAATTTCCCGTGTCACTTTACCTAGTTCCCCGTCAAATTTGTACAAATTAGTTGAGCTCAAACCCCAATTTTTAGTTCCCTCAGGTTGTGCAAGTACAAAAGTATTATTTGGTAAAATTAAATTTGCATTCTGAATATTTGACATGACAGGGTTATTCAATCCCCAATCATAAATTTCAGTGTCATTAAAAATGTAACCAACAATAAAGTTGACTCCTTTTCCATCTAATAAAAAACCTCCATATGGAAGTGATCTAATGTTATAATGATCAACTCCTGGATTGTTGGGTATCGTAGCATTTAACGATTGAATATTATATACAGCTCCTGACGAAAGAAAATCAATTTTAAAAAAAAAACTGGTCGTCGTAGTATTGGAAGATAATATGCAAGTTTGCCCAACTCCTACATAAGAAATACTGCAATCGAGTCCATTAAATTGCAATCCTTGAATTTGATTTTCATAAAGAACGACAGGTTGTCGATTCGACTTTTTCCCATACGGTAACAGTTTGGCGGCAATTTCTCCCGTAGGTTCGTTGGGATTGACTTTTGAATTCGTGGTATTGGCGTATATTATCGCGTACCCTCCGTCCATCATGGCGACGGGTTTAAGTATTGCAGTATCTTCTGGAAAACTGATGACATCTTCTGCAAGCAGCTTTATTTCACCCAATTCGGTACTTTTTTTTTAAAAAGAAAAAAAAATACAGAAATCAAAATCGAATAACTTTCTACCATTAATTTGAGATACATGTGCATGATATGTGATAGATTACATGATGAATTGCTGCCAGACAGCATCAGTAGCATTTGTTATACCTCCTAAGCGAAGAAATCCCTTGTCACGATCAACATTATAAATTAACTTGGCAAAGTTAGGCATCCACTGATTAGTAGAAGGGTGAAAGTAGGCATGACCCAGAGAAGCGTTGCTATAAAAAAAATAAAAGAAAATAATGAAAAGAAAAAGAAAATTGTTTATTATATGTAAAGATTTACGTACGAAATTTGATTTATTTCTAACCTATAAAATTTTCCAGTTAAATCAAATACCATCGCCCGATCATCATAGGTTGTAGGATCATCGAAATCCGTAACCTCGGTATAAGTTACTAGCACAAACTTATCTTTAACTGCATAAATTCTTATAGGGTTGTAGACTTCATCATCAATTACCCTAATGCAAAAATTTAAGTCTTGTATATCCAACGTAAGGTCAACTGGTTCAACTCTTCCATCAGGAAGAATCGTTCGAAATGACAAATATTTATTCACGCATAATTCATTTGTATTTTTATTGGAAGGATCCGATTTATTTACACTAACGATATTAACAACGATCGAGTTATCTTCATAACTTTCCATCGAAAATAAGATGGGTTCAGTGTTTTCTTCATATGTAAAAGAACTTATTTGTGATCTTACGGGTATTGTTGCGAACAAAATGATCAAAAGAATTGTAAAAGTAGATAACTTCATTATAACAAGTTAAAATTGTTTTTATCCAATCAAATGACTCATAAAAAAATAATTGAAATGAATCATAAAACAAAAAAAACAAATGGGTAAAACCAATTATTTTAAATCATTTTTTTTTAATTTGAAGTAACAGATCAACAAATGATTAATCAATAATTTGAAATGTTAAATGGAACTAAAATAGTAAGTTTCGCAGATCCATCGGAATAAAAAAGATCCCAACAAGGGACCAAGGTTATACTTATGGACCCGAGTAAATTTTTGACATTTTAACGTGGTACACATGAAAACAAATTCTAGTGGTAGCGAGACCTTGATGATCAATTACAGAATTCGCCAATTTGATATTTACACGGAGATTATGATCAAAAAAATCTTGTCAAAATTGCGCGCAAGAATTTTATTAATAGATTGCATACGAAAAATTGTCTTTGATAATAAATTCGTTAGCTTTAAGATTAAAAAAGGAAATATACAAATTTGAATTAATATAAAGTAAATAAATATGACATGAATGAAAATTTTCCCAAAATAAAAATAAAATTATATTAAATTAAAATTAAAAGTGAAATTTAAACTATGATCATTTTTTCAGTAGAAGCCTTGCTCGACTGTTGATATTACCATTTTCTATAATTTTTAGAAATATATCTACTGTCTCAACTTTAGTTTTGGAACTGTCAGCTTTTGTCTTAAGAATGCCTTCATTATCACAATCAAGGCTTATATCATCATACGTATAGGTGAAAGCTTTGGTACCACCTTCATGAACTGTTACGTTTAACCTTTTTGTCATATCAAGGACGACATCGAAGTGATCCACGATTAGAAATTTGTAGTTCTTGGTTGATTTGAAACCACTACTAAAATAGCCTGTGACGGTTGTGCTACCTTCGTCATCTTGAACAAAGACCACAAAACCTTTAATTGGACCTTCCGAAACCTTTTCATTTTTAGGACTATCTGGATCAAAAATCGCATTGGCGAAGATGAAAGGACACTTGGTCGCACAAGTATTTCTTTGTTCTAGTGCATTATCAAGGTCATCATCAATTCTTATCACTGCCGAAGCTGCAATGACGGTTATAAGTAAATAGGCTAAAGAAGCCAAAGCTATAAATTTTTTCATATTAAAGTTGGAAAAAATACTTCTTGTTTTTTTTTTTTATAAATGAAAAAATGTTTTTTTCTTTTTAATGATTATTTCGTGAAAACATTTATTTTACGATGGTAACTGACTCGTTTTTATAAAGATCTTGGATATACAAGTTGATGATTCCTGATTAATTAAATTAATTAATTATTCATTTATGCGTATAATATACGAACAAAGTGTCCCTGGTTTTACTTATTTTTTTTGTTCAATCTTTCGGGTGACCAATGAGAGGTTCATAATAGTTTGGGGAATTTCGGGTCGAGACCAATAAGATATTTATTTTTTAATGTCGCGCCTCATAATTTGTTGCAGACTTCTTGATCATAGGACGATCAATGTTAAAATTGGAAAATTGGTTGTTTCCGAATTGGAAATAATCAATTTTATTTATGGTAAGCCCCTTTAAAATGTGATTATTATTGGTTATTCACAAAATTTTTCGGTACAAAATTTTCTGAAATCCTGCTAAACCACAATTCCTCAGAGTTAATTCTTATCGTGCAAGATTTTTAATTGAAATTTATTTTTCATTTACTTTGTCATATCAATATTAAAATTAGATCAGTCCTTCATTTCCCTATTTAGCAAGAAATAAACAATTTATTAAACTATTCAAATATTGTTATAGACGATTGTTAAGGCAAATCTAGACAATACCGTCTTTATTTTTTTTTATTGCGATTGACTATTTCTAATTCAATAAGCAAGCATTTTCCTTCCTTTCTATTACAATCGCCTCTGAAAATACGCGTTCGAAATCTCAGGATTCCTTTATTTTAAAAATTTTACAACAATGTGATATGGGATTTAATATGTTCCTAGAGGGTTCGCAAAAAATATTTATTATTGATGAACAAAAATGTACCTGCTTGAAAAGCTTGAATTAATAGCCGTATTGCATACTTTCTTTGTAAAATATTTAATTATTTTATTTAATTTCGGAAATATAATAAAGCGCCGAGGTTGAATCCGAATATTTTCTGGACGAATATGGAAATTAAATTTGTTATAGGCTGTATGAAAGCAATATATCTGCTTTTTATAAATGGTAATAATAGTTTCCTGCAACGGGCCGGGTCCAGGTTCAAAGTACCAGCCCGGATTTTTTATAATTCTGATTATTATTTAAAATTGAGCCGCTGATTGTTATTGAAAGATTTTATTATTCTTTTTTTTTTTTAAAAAAAAAGCAAAAGGAAATAAAATGTCAAATTTAATCAAAAAAAGGAGAATTAAAATGTTTAATTTTAATGAATTATTGACAAAAGAGCAATCAAAAATATAGTGTTTAGATTTACATAGTGCACTTCAATAATTTTTTTTTAGTTTTTATATGGGAGGTTTGCTATTAAAATCGAGTTCACGAACATAGTAAATCATATGATCTGTAACGTGATTTTAATAGCAAACCTCCCATATTTATATATACTCTTTTTGGTATTTGTAAAATAAATAATATTTATTGAATTATTAAAATTTCACA